ACAATGCAAGGATAATAAACTGTGTTCTTGCCTGTGGCTGATCTTCAGATTATAAGTGGGGCTTAACTCAGCCATACAGGAGCCAATGATACTGGATTAAAATTGGTTTGGAAGAGTGGGAGTGACAGGGTTGTAGAATCATTTGAGATGTTCTCCTGAACATCACTTTGCGCCACACAAATGCAAGTCAATGACTGTCTCCAATAAGAGACGATCTAACCCATGTCCTTGATATTCAGTGGTATTAGATCACTGAATACACCACTAACAGCTTATTGGGGGGTTACCATTGAACAGAACCTGGACTCACCATCTAACTACAGTGGCTACAAGAGCAGTTCGGGGTGAGGAGTCCTGCAGCGAGTAACTCACTTTCTGATTCCCCAAAGCCTGTCCACCATCAACAAGCTGCAAGTCAGGAGTGTGATGGAATATTCCCCACTTGCCTGGATGGGGTATACTTGAGAAGCTTGACACCATCCAGGGCAAATATCCACTCCCTTTGCCACCAACACTCAGTAGCAGCAGTGTGTACCATGTGCAAGATACACTGCAGAAATTCACCATGGCGTCTTAGACAACACCTTTCAAACCCACAGCTACTCCCATTTGAAGGACAAGGGCAGCAGATCCATAAGACCACCCCCTGAGTTGGAAATATATCACCATTTCTTCAGTGTCACAGGGTCAAAGTCCTGGAATTCTCTCCCTAACAGTATTGTGGGACTTTCTACAGCTCATGGACTGCAATGGGTCAGAAGGGTATCTTACCACCATCTACTTAAGGGTAACTAGGGATGGGTAATAAATGCTGGCCCAGTCAGCAACACCCACACCCAACAAGCAAATGTTTAAAAAAAAACTTGTACAAATGAGCTGAATGTTTGACTGACTTGCCATGGAGATTACTTCAGTGCTTTAGGGAAAGGGAGGACAGAAATACCTTTTTGAGTTGCCCAGTACTAGAAACACCATTGCCATCTCTAGACTCTTACAGAATCTTCATTTCCTGTTGGTGTAATATTGGCATGTTGAAACACAAAAGCAACATACATAAAGTCATGCTGGACAATGTTGATAATTTTGACTCAAAATTTGACTGCCGTATTTGTGGGGTGACTGATAGGAAACTTGGTGTTATGGGCCATAATTCTCAACAGCTCATTCTGGGAATTTGTGTCTCAAAGCAAGGAGGAGAATCTCTAGACTTCTTTTTGCTGTATTTGGCCTACATGGCTTCATTGCTATTGAAGTGTTTCATATTCATATCTGAGACAATAATGATAGTTGACTTGGCTTATAGAAGGATTTTTTGTGTGTCTGTTGGGGTAAGGGGTGTGGGGGTGGTGCAGGTGTTACTTGTATTGCTTGTGGGTTCCACCTTTTTCAATAGGTGCAGGCAATGCTATACAGCACTACTGCAACTGTATTTTCTATTTCTCAAACTGTTGCTTCTCAGCTTACTCCTTACTGAACAGCCTGGTCATTTTAGAATTTGCCCTTTCCCATCTCTCCTGATGGATGGATGCCTGATACAGTTCCAACAAACCACCTGCTCTGGTCAAGGGGTGTACGTGCATACGTTAATTAATTCTACTATTCTCCGTGAAGTATGGAACTTCAGAACCCGTAGCAGTTAATTTTGCTCATCTCTTCCTTGCATGGGGCTTATGAGCAGTTTTATCCTGGTCTGTGCTGTAACTTTGAACCTTGTGCCATGGGTCTTCAAATTGTTTGTCTTACGTGGAATGAAGCAGGTGTCTTTTTGGATGTTTGGAACACTATTCTATGTCAGTAGAAGTGCCACTGCTGTGTGTGACAGACTATTGTGTGACATTCGGCCTCTCAATTACCATTTCTACTGAAGTCAGTTAATCCCGTGTAGACTGGGGCCAAACTTGAGTCCTTCCTGGTTGTGCAGTGGCAAATTTTGCCCAGTTGGTCATTTATTTTTTCTAATCCACTTTTCTTCCTTTCAGGATAAAGATGACAATGCCCTGAGGGATCTATTACTAGGGCATGTGGAAAAGTCCCTCAAAATGGCCATTTACAATACCAAGACACAGGCTGTTCGCGAAGTCAGTGCAACACCCAGTAATCTGTGGGGTGGACAGGGGTTGCTCGGTGTCAGCATTCGGTTCTGCAGTTTTGAAGGCGCAAATGAAAATGTTTGGCACGTTTTGGTATGTAAAGTGCTTCCTAAGTATGTTTTGATGCTGTGCCCAAGTGAGGTAACTTTGCCAAGCTCTCACTAAGTGTCTACAGCGGTGTAATTCTGCCTTGAAAGCAATGGCAACAGGTTTCTATTGATGTGAGGAGAAATCAAATTTGCATCAGAGTGTGGTTAAAATGCTTTACTGAAGAGTTTAAACAGCATGATAGTATATAATCTCTGGAGATATGTATCTTAAAATTACTTTGTAAACATCGGAGGGCATTGTAACCCTGCACTTTTACTGTAACAGGGAATGCTTCTTACTTCAAAGTTGGCCGTGTACTTTTTTTACCCCCAATCCTGTGACTTTCCTGCCAACTGCAGAATTGTGTGAAATGTTTTTGGTGAATAATGTAGGGGCTTCTGGGGTGGGGAGGGACTGAAAAGTTGTCAAGAGCAGAACCAGCTGGAAGGAAGCAAAAGGCAGCTGAGCAAAATCTACTGTGAAGGCTATAAAATCCCTAAGTCTGAAGGGAAGCCTGCAGGCTGCGCTTCCTATCCATTTCAGGTGGCTGGCTACTTTACACCATTGATGGAGCAAAATATGAAATACTTCCAAAGTATTTCAGTGGCTTTCAAGTATTTTCACAGAATTGTTATAGCACCTGAGGAGACCGTTTGGCTTGTCATGTCTGTGTTGGCTCTCTGAAGGAGCAGTTCACCTAGTGCCACTCTTTGTCCTGACCCCACTCCAACCTTCTCCCTTTGACCCTGCATGTTCTTCCTTTTCCAATAATGATGCAGTGTCCTTTTGAAAGCCACACTTAAATCTGCCTCCCCACACTCTTGGCCAGTGCATTCCAGATCTTAAGCACTTGTGTTTAAAAAACAAAGTATAAAATCAAGTAAGTCTAGTAGGAAGAACAGACAGGGCCAGGTTAATGAATATGGCGGGACTGGCGGTCTGAAGTGTTGTTATTATTTTTATTTTAATGCAAGGAGTATAAAACAGGTGAGCTTAGAGTCTGGATTAGTACATGGGACTACAATGTTGTAGCCATTACAGAAACTCGATTGAGAGAAGGGCACGACTGGCAGCTCGGTATTCTAGGGTTTAGACGTTTCAGGCATGATAGAAATGTGAAAGGGGTGAGGAAGTTGCATTACTGATTAAGGAGAATGTTACAGCTGTGAAAAGAGAGGATATCTCTGAGGGCTCATCCTGCACAGCCAGATGGGTAGAACTCGGGAATAAAACAAGGTGCAGTCACTATGATGGGGTTATTCTATAGGCCTCCCAATAGCCAGCGGGAATTACAGGAACAGATATGTAAACGGATCATGAAGTTTTGTAAAAACAATAGGGTTGTGGTAGTGGATGATTTTAATTTCCCTAA